GTTATAGCTCTTCCCAGGTTGGCCATGTAGGGTAAATGAAGTCAGCTAGACCCTCACTGGGACAGGACTGCTTTGCAAGATACATGGTAATGTCACCAGCTTTTGGAAGAAAGGGGTAAAAGTTAGACCAAAGGCACTAAGTACGCCTGTCTCTGCAGGCACAGGTCAGTTATGCACCTTCTGTGCACCCATTTCTGTGGCTGGGACTTGAGGGCTAAAACCTGCTTTTTTTGAGAGGTCTCTCTGGGGAGAGGAGACACTCTCAGGCTCTGAAGTGAGAGGTCAGAGGGTTGAGGTGGTCAGTCAGGGCAGTATGTGGTTTAGCAGCCTCTTCTCAGGTGGGAGACTTGTTTTCCATGGTGCTGTTCAGGAAAGATTTTTCTCGTGTTGAGGTCTCTTGCATACTTCCTTGTTCCTCATGTGTCCCCCACCTGTGTCTTTGGCTGCATGAGCAGAGGAGACATGCTGAGATTTATTTACTGCTGCTTTGAGCAGGGGATTGGACCAGATGGCCTCCAAAGGTCCCTTCCAATCTAAATTACTGTATATTTATCTTGCTGAGAGTCAGATGCCAACAGCGAGTCCTTTACAAAGGCGCTTAATGGATCAAAGGCTTTCTCCCCCCACCTCTGAAAATGAGATCTGGGACTCTAAAGGAAGCAGTCTGGTTCCAATATATTAATTTTGTCTGAGACAGGTGAAATCAGGTGGCCAGACCTGTGTGTGCCGTGGTTTCATCCTGCCTGAACAGATACGGCCAGCCCTGGATGATGTGCAGAGTGGAGGGCAGGGTTTGGAGGACACCTTGCATCCCACGTGTCCACCTGCACTCCCTGGGCTGGTAGAGGTGTCCTAGGAGAGAGGAGACCTGTGGGATGAAGTCGTGGAGGAACCCATAGGCTGTTGGGAGGGGGCCTGTCCTCCTGCTTTTACTCCTTGGCACCCCCAGCCTGCAAGTGGGGTCCCAGGGAGGGAAGCACCTAAAGATAAATGTCTGTGCAAACCGCCCTTTGCATCTGTCTTTAAGCTACATGCCAACAAAATGCAGAGAAGCGTGATGGCGTGTGTTGACGTCCACGTGTGAGAGGAGCACACGCTGTCCCTGGACCACAGAGCAAGCAGCACATAGCGCGTATGTCGTCGCGTGGCTGCAGGAGGGTGCCAGCCCATAGGCAGCGCAGGCAGAACTGGTACGAGCCAACCTTCATTGGAGCATGGGGTGCACGGAGACCCTCCCGGGCTGGAGGTGGGACACGATAACCTCTCCCACAGCCAGCACCCAGGAGGAATTTGGCTATTAAATCCAATTATATTTGCAGACTGAACTCTTCTGTACCCATTTCAGGAGGTGGCTCTTGTCAGTGTGAAGTCCTGCATGTGCAGTCTTTCCTTTTTACCTGGAGTTTTGGTTGGTTTGAACTTTCTTTTTAATGGCCGTGTTTAAGAGCAAGATAGCAAGGAGCTGGAACGGGCTTAATGTCCTCAGCTCTCTTATGAGTACGCTTTCTGAGAAAAATGCCTATTTGCTGATATCATCTCATATGGCATGATGTCAGAGCTTTGCTACATTTACTAAAAAAGCTGCACTAACCACATGAAATGCTTACATGAATTTTTCTAGCTTGCATAGAGGTGTCCTTGATGACCTTTCACAGTAATTACAGCAGTTACCAGATGTTTGCCTCAGGCAAACCTCTGTAGGTCTTCAGCATTGTGCACTTAGTTGTTTTGGATTTCCCCTTCCACCTTATTCTATAAAATAGCATTGTGGCCACTAATGTCTTTTCCCCTAAAATTTATCAATTGCTGTTGGGACACAGTGAAAGCTGCTGGGTATTTTCACAAACAAACCAAATATGATTTTAAGGAAGCACTAGTATTTCCTATTTATGTTTTGCTTTTAGAACCTGCCTTCCAGAAATGGTTTTTGCCTAAGAAAAATGGAGACAATCAGAGCATTATTTTTTTTTAAAAAACAGGTAGGAGATGAAGGATGAACATCCATGAGCAGCAAGTTTCTTTTCAAGCGTATCTGAGCAAAACCAAAGCCTTTCTGAAGTGGTTTGCTGCACTCACAGTTTGTCTTGTTTCCTGCTTATGCTTTTGGCAGTTCATTTGTTGAGCACACCTTCCAGTATGGTGTGTGTGGCTACAGGCAGTGGGGGAAGCTGGAAGGCCACAAAAGGCAAGGGGGCTTTAAAACCTTACTTATTTCTTTTTCTATTCAGAATGCTGCTAATGAGACTGTATTTTACTGCGCCTTGATGGTAGAAAGGAGTATCTCCCTCAGCATCAGCAGCAATGGAGACAGGGGAGGAGGTGTATGAAAGAAATGAGAACAGGAGATTTCATGCTAGATGAGTCTCCAGTTAGGGGTCCAGTATAAAAAAAAATCTTTGTTTAGTCTGCAGTCAGTAGCTAGTGGTTGCTTTTAGCATGAGCCCTGGGGGCCAAGCTGGGAAGTGGGGTGTCCTCCTTCTTAAGCTGGTGTGATTTACAGCATTGGGATATAGCTCTAGTGCAGCTATGTGCTCGGCAGAGCCAAAGCAGAGGGAAATGTGCGTGGAGAGCTTCTCTCAGAGCAGAGGGTGAGATGTGAGGGCTCCTTCCCGGTGCCCATGTTTTGCAGGGATGTTTCTCTTGACAGCCATGGCTTTCCTGCCTGCTGCCCTCTGCAATGTCTGGACCATCTACTACCCCATGGCTGTGCTGGCAGAGCTGTCTGCAGGACCTCGGGATGCACTGGGTGAGAATGAAGGAAGGTTAAGATAGCTTTGAAACCACAGCCTGGAGTGGTGCTGGATGGTTGGGACATAGTGAGTGATGAAGGCTGAAGATGTCGCTGCCCCACCAGCTGTCTGGCCCCATCTGTGAGACTGGGAAGCACCTATTGAGTCCCTCCTTGCCTAATTTCTTTTGTAAATAAGATATGTTGTCAGAGCAGGACTCTGCTGACTTGGTGAAAAGCTGTGACTCGCAACGAGGTTACAGCTTTGGATCACCATGGTCATGCCAGCTCCTCCAGTGGTGCAAACTAACTCATTGCCTTTGGTGCTTGCTGTACTTCATCAGTTTGTACCAGCAGAGGAGCTGAAGGCCTGAATTTTGCTTGGCAGCTGTTTCAAAGCAAGATGCTGTTCTCTTTGCTTGATCAGCGCATGTGTTAATGTATCTGTTAATTACGTTCATGTAGTCTGACACTGGGCTCTTGCAAAGACCTTCTTCTGCTGTTGAAGGTGGTGTTGGAGACCCTCGCTGGAGTGAACAATGAAGCAGCTTGTGGGGGATCTGGGGACATCTGAGCCATGTGAAAACATGCTGGATGGTGAAGATCTGTCCACTCTTTAATGTCCTCATGGATGTGGAGTCATATCAGTGGTGGTAGTGCCACACTGGCCTCAAATTGCCTTGTGTGGCTTGTAGCCAGGAAATGTACCTTCTGGTAAGGCTCCTTGTCCAGGTCTTCATCCTCCCACAGTAGAGTCCTTGGTCCTGGGTACATGTAGTGTGTGGACAGACCGTAGACTATCTCACAGAATCACAGAATCATCTCAGTTGGAAAAGACCTTTAAGATTATCCAGTCCTACCATGAACCTCACACTGGCAGTTCCCAACTCCACCAGATCCCTCAGCGCTGGGTCAACCCGATTATTAAACCCTTCCAGGGATGGGGACTCCACCACTGCCCTGGACAGCCCATTCCAGCACCCAACAACCCCTTCTGGAAAGAAATGCTTCCTAAGAGCCAGTCTGACCCTGCCCTGGTGCAGCTTGAGGCCATTTCCTCTTGTCCTATTGCTTGTTACTTGGTTCAAGAGACTCATTCGCAGCTTTCTGCAACCTCCTTTCAGGCCTCCTCTTCAGACTAAACAACCCTCGTTCCCATACTGGTGGAGAGGAGGTCCCATGACAAGAGGAGAGGGGAGGTGGTTGTGTCTCCCTTTTGTTGTGTGGAATGGGGCAGGTTTGTATCAGTAGCACAGGTTTCTGGCTCTTTTGAGCTACAGCTTTGTTAGATGCAATTCCCTAATTGAATCGCCTGTCTTGTGAGCAAGGTCCCAGGTTTAATTAAAGCCTTAATTTTGGTTTTGACCCTTTAAATTGCACTGATAAAGAGCAGCCTTGATGCTAATTTTCCCACTGGCTTGTGCTGTTGTACGCTATTCCCATGCAGATGGTACCCCCGGGCTCCAGTGTTGGTGTGACGTGCTCTTCCATCCCAGCACGAAAGGACCACTTGTATCCTGGAGGGCTCACGTGTTAAACAAATGGGCTTTGGCTCCAAACCCAGAGTCGAGCAAAGAGCATATGGTCCAGAGGTGCAGCTTGTTTTTCTAAAAATGCCTGGAAAACTGGATAGTAGCCTTTGCTTCTTACTAGTGCCCTAGCCTGAGGAGGAGCAGGATTTAAGCACGTACTTACATTTCAGCATGTGCTTAAGTGTTGTCCTGAATGGAGACCCTCTCAAGCTTTTGTTGAAGTGCTTTCCTGAACCAGGATGAACAGGCTGTGAAAGTAGTCTCTTACTGTTTCTGCCCCACTGTGTATATGTTCCTTGTTTGCTCCAGGCTTGCTGGCTATTCATCACAAGGAGAAAATCACTTTATTTAGTTGCAGATAGCTAAGTAACTCAGAGCAGGCAGGTTAGGAGTGTTACATGTGAGCTGGGAGCGAGACATCTGACCTTGTCTCTTGTCTGTCTTGTTTCTATGATCCTAATTCTGCTCTAAATTAATTCTTTTGTTTAGCTGCTGCATGTTTTTTTTTTTTTCCTCCTTTTTGTTTTCGCATGAATGCTTGTCTCTATATTTAGGTCTGCCGGGGCGGGATGTTATGAATAATTGTTGATTGATATTATTAAACACTAACACGCTTGGCTGTGTTGCACTAATGATGGGGCTTTGGGGATATGCAAATCAATTAATTGCAGTAATTGCTGTAATAGCTGTTTTGGAGGATGCTGTTGAAGAGCCCTTGGGAGGACAGACAAAGAGGGCGACATTTAGAAGCACAGAGGTGAAGGGGTGCTTGAGAGTCACTGGAGATGGCTCATTCAAGCTGCTGATTTGTAAAGTTTGGTTTGTGTTGCTCAAACCTGCTCATGCCAAATCCTCTCTTGCTTTGTTTCAGAGTTATCCCAGTGTGGCTACTCCTGGACTTTTACCATGGCCATTTCTTCTGAGGTTGAGCTGAAGATGTTCACAGATGAGACAGCCTTTTCCAGGTAATGTCTTGGCTTAGAAATCTGGGAGACCTCCTTGGAAAGGTGAGGAAAAAAAAATATTTCCAATACTAGACCTCTGTGTTGCCTCGCACTGAACGGTTTTGGTTTGCTATCTGATTTTCATTCATGGTAAAACCTTTTTTCCCCTTCTGTGACAACATCATGGGGGCCTCACAGTGGGCACAGAAGGGACGTGAGATGCCTCAGGAACCATTGTGGGGAGGCTGTGAAAGCAATGGGATTTCGAGTATTGTGAGGATGGGGAGGAAAACGTCTCTTCTGGCTTCTTCCCCATCCTATATGTGCTCTCCCTGCCTTTGTGTATTATTGTATATTCTTTTGTCTGGGTTTCTATATGCAACGTGCTTTAGTCTCCGTGCTCTGGGGCGAGTGTTCAATGTGCTGCACAGATGGTGCTCCCAGAAATCCCGTTATTTGCTAATGGGATTTTGTGCAAAGCGTTTCCACTGTTCTTTTCAACAGTCTGAATGTTTGTGTAAATATGACCAAACCCTCATCTTGCTGAGACACCCCTTCCCGTGCAGCTGAGAACACGACTATTTTATATTTATTGGGATTTTTTTAGTCCCCGAGAAGGATGTCAGGCCCAGCTACTGTGGCAGGCAGCGGCTGCAGGATCCAGGCAGCACTGTGGTCTGTACCTGCACCTTGCACAGCGAAGGAGTGTCGGTCTTTGCTGGCTCTGCCAGATGTCACAGTCCTGCCAGGTGGCCTGGACACATTGGTCACGCCACTCCACTCTCATGCCCTTGTTACCTTTCTGGTGGTCCTATCCTTACGTGTCGCGCTTGACGTATGGCTGAGATATGCTTATCTATTCAGCTTCTTCCCCCCTCCCTCCCTGAGTCCTGCAACATTTCTTTAATGCAATGTTCAGCTTTATGTAGCTATTCCCCTCTGTGCCCTCCATTCTTCAAGTAGTGCTCAAAATCATGATATAAATAGCAGAAGCCTAGAATATGTTGCTTTTATCACCAGAGGCCTTTCAGAATAGGTTAGATGTGTGCCTGATGGGGATAATACAGTGCTGACTCTTCCACAGGGCACAGAGCTGGACGAGGTGACCTCCTGAGGACTTTTCCAACCCTTATTTTTCCATCACTGTGTGACATTTGCTGCTAGTGTTGAAATGGGTAAGTGGAGCTTTGTTTTGCGTCATGCTCGCTGGAGGGAGGTCAGGGCTCAGTGGCCGTCGTGACTAACAGACAGTTACGGGGCGTGTGTCAGGAAGTTCCCTGTCCATCTGCGTACTCATATACTTCTCATCCTGCAAAATGCTCTTCCCCTAAATGCTTCTCAGGCTCTTCTGTGATGGGAAGGTGAGTCATATGAGGGCAGAGGTTCTTCTTTAGCTGGCCAAGGACTCCAGGTGGTTCCTCTGGAGCTGGCCTTAACCAGAAAAGTGTCACCACAACCCAAATGTCAGAAAGTACAGGCAGCAATCCTGCCAAGGACTGTTCCCATTACAGTATGGTGCTGTTGAGCTGGCTGATTGGGGATCAGGGGCTGGCCATGGCTTGCTGACCAGGCAGCGGAGAACCAGCTGTGGGATACTGCTACATGCAGATATAGGATTGATGCTTACAGCCCCACGGTACTCCTCTGAACATCCAGGACTGTATTGCCCTCTAAAGTGTGGTCCTGGTCTCAGAAAACCCTCATCTCCAGCTCTGTGCCTGTGTCAGGGTCCAGCTCTGGGCTGGGGAGGTGTGTGAACAAAATAAGACTTGTGGTCATCTCCACAGCACTTGGATCTGTCTCCTGTGTTTTGTTTGGACATCAATGCACCTATTAAGCACCTGGCCAGCATGGTGTAAGTCCTTCTTTAGTGATGTTGTGACCACTTTGTCCAAAATTTAGGGGCCATGAGGGATTTTGGAACACAGCCCTCTGTGTCTTGTACCCCTCTTCTAGCAACAGAGTTTGGGAAATAATGTTTTTTCAGTCTGCCAAAGGTGACAGAAAACCTGCAGAGACACTGATCTCCAGCAATGCCCCACTGTGATCTGATGTCCTCTGTGGGGTGGGATCTCTATCAGAAAACACCTCTTCAGAGGTGTTTGCTTTCTGTGCCCATCAACAAATACCGACCCAGCTTGTGTTTTTGTAGCCTCTCAGTTTTGCTGACTTTATCACCCTTCTGATAAGGGTGATTAGATCTGATTTGTTTGAATTATAGCCTGACGGCTTTCAGCTCTCACAGACACAACACCGTGCTGCGCTGGGTTCACACCAGCTTGTGTATGGGGGGAAGTGAAGAGGGGAGAGCCTTTCTCCTCCTCTGATAATAGATAGCAGATGTGATATCATTACCAGGTCGACACTCTGAAAGCATCAAACAGCAGGAAAAAAGCTGTGCTTGGATGTCACTTTAAAGATGTAAAGGGGAGGATGTGGCAGAGGCTGAATCATCCCGTGCTCAGCAGCAGGTCTGAGCGTTGCTCTGCAAGGTTTCACAAGCTGTGGTATATTTAAGTAGTCCTGATTTGGTGATTTGGCCCCAGGAGCATTTCTTTAGGTTTTTACTAAACCATTAACAATTTCTTCATAAAAGTCAAGTGTGCCCATGTCTTGTTTATGTCTTGGGAGCTGCGTGCAGTCAGTTTGTTAGTGTATCTTGTTTATCTGGAGGTGTGATGTTCCATTTCTTTTTCCTTTTTAGAGACTCCTGGGCTGCTAGAAAGGGTTTCCCCCTCTAACCAGGTTTTGTCCAAGGTTGGTGACCTGCTGTGAGCCAGACCATATTAAGACCTGGCTCTTCTGTGTTATTGGGAGCATTGGGTTTTTTTTCCCTAAAGTCCTTGCAGTAGCTTTCCAGTTCAAAAAATCTGGGGCAGGTCAGAATGCAGCTTATTACTATGCCCTTGTGCCTTTGTCCTGTGGTCTGGTGGCTGAAAGTCTGAAATAATACATGATTCAGCTGTGAGTTTGGGGACCTTTTGGGCTCTTGGAGAGAAGCTGAGTTCTGTCTGTGCATCTTTTCTGCAGGGCTTGGCCAGGTGCATCTTTGGCTTGGTCTCCTCATACTCCGATTCTCCTCTGCCAGGTAATTTAAATCATAATAGCAGGTAATTGTAAGATTGATATTTAGAAAACAGGATCTGCTTTAACTTAGCATAATGGTCTCAAGTGAGAACTATATGCTTTAAAAGCCATGTTGCAGTCTTGGGCTCTATACAGCCCTTGGAAAAAAGGCATCTCAGGTTCTGGCCGAATGTGGTCATTAAAGAGTACATGGTGGCTCCTAGCATGAAGCTGGAAAATTGTAGGAGTTTTAAGGAGAGAACTGAGTGTGCCTGTGGCATGTCAACAAAGAACAAAATACGTAAAAGTACAGGAAAATGTCTTGAGGGGCCACTGTAGATAAAAGAGGACCCAGCCTTACTTGAATGTGGGTGGGTTGTATGAGAGCTGCCATGGGGAGGAGGTATGGAAGTAGGCTGGAAGGGAGGATGTGGCAGGAAAGCAGCATGGCAGCTTCATCGTAACATCGGAGACATGTGTTGGGGAGGAACAGCTCAACCTAGGCTATCTTTGCATTACTGCATTGGGCAGCTGTTAAATGCTCTAGGGATGGCTTCATGGCAAAAAACTTGTCCTTCTCATTCCACTGCTTCTTTTTCCCCCCCTGCTCCCCTCACCTCCAGCAAGGTGTCCTCCAAGTTAATTTTAGGATAAGAGAAGGAAAGTCCATGTATTTAACTTAATGGCTGGTACATGTTGTGTGAATGCCACGCAGGGTCGTAGGTGCAGCCAAGAAAATACGGTGAGGGCACAGATGTGTGTATGTGTGTTGGGAGAGGTTATAAATAGCATGTAGATGTGCATTCTATTACGTTGTATTTTGCTTTTCTCTTATGCTGATGGTACATTTTCTGGCAGTGTAGATGACAAGCTCTTCTATGTGATATTTGCCAATATTGAGAGCGCTTGTGAACTCTTATGCCACTGTGATTTGCTGTCCAATGGACATGGGAAGAAAACTGCAATGCTTCCAGTGCGCTTGCTCTCTCCCACCTCCCCCCTACATCTTCTTCCCTAGCTGATTTGACCAGGTCACTCCCCATCTTTGATTCTTTCCTCTTATTTAAAGACCTCCTGTGGCTGCATTGTCTGGAAAAGCTCTGGTAGAGGCTTCAGAGCCGTACTTCCACCTAACTAGAGAACATGCTCTCATTAACAGCCCTCGAGGAGGGTGAATATCACTGCTACCTTCAAAGGAGAGACGGAGGTACAGAGCAAACTCCTGGCCCTCAGTCGGATGGAGCTCTGCTGAAGACATCAGCAAGATCAAAATGTCAGCTGGTGAGAACAGAAGTGATGCAGCTATTCCTCTATGATGCAGGAGCTGCGGTGGCTTTGTGGTTCCTGGAGACATGAGGTGAACTGGCTTTAACTAGCTTTGGTACCGATAAAAGTGCAGCAGCTGCTTGGGCGAACGGCCCAACTACTTGCTTAGCCTCTCGGGAGGGTTTCAACACACATGCTGAACTCTGCTGCCACTGTCAGCAGTGACTGCTAGTTATCTTAAAGTTAGCTTAGGACTGCCTGTGCCATCTGCAGCTTCACCATCTGCAGCAGAGATGTACCGTCAGTTGCTGTCAAGTGAAACTGTGCTGAAGCTTGGGAGCCAAAACTCTCTTCTCAGCTGCTATCTGAACACCTCTGCCAGGCACTCAGTCTCCTTCCTCAAAGTTGCACCTTGGTGGATGAGCTTCAGGTGGTTGAGTGGAAACCTTGCCAAGTGTGGAGGGCTCTCAGCAGTGTTACGGATGACTGTAGGCTTCCTCCTGGGAAGTATGTAAAGATCTGTTGGCTTCTTATTTTAGTCCCCTAAAAGAGCACTCTCATAACTACTTTTGGCTTTCCTTTTAGCCTAATGAGATCTCCCTTTTCCAAAAAGTCTGAAGCGATTCAGTTCTAAACTATCCACAGCATCTATTTGTCTGATTTCCCCCTTCTCTGGAAGCATATCAGATGAGTGCAGTGGGGTGAAGGTAGGCTGGATTTCAGCCATCCTTTGGCTCCTGCTATGAGTGCATAGACTTTTATCTTTTCAATGTGACCATTAAGGGGAGGAAAAAAAAAAAGGAAATTAAACCACAAACAACTGCATTAAAATAATAATCAAAGCCGTATGAAAGCACACAAAACCCCAATAAACTCTGTTCTTTGAAACTTGAATCTTATCTCCCCCTGTCAAGGTTAATTGTTGCTGGGTTCAAACCATGGACAAGCTTTCATTATGACTGGAGATCTGAGCCATGGCTGGCCAGGTTCAACTGCCGGGTGGTTTGTAGCAGGGTTGAATTTGGTCCAGTCTCATACGGAGGGAGTTTCATCTGTAACTCTGCATTTCATTATATTTCACAGAATCACAGAGTCATCTAGGTTGGAAAAGACCTTGAAGATCATCTAGTCCAACCATTAATCTAACATTGACAGTTCCCAACTACACTATATCGCTAAGCACTATCTGACCTTTAATGTTTCTTGAGTGTCTTCTCCCAGGATAATATTCTGTGGAGCTATTTTAAAGGTGGTCACTTCATTTCTTTCTGTGTTACACTGAAAACTACAGTATGGAGAGATGAGGAACATCTGATAGAAGGTCCCCTAACATAAGAGACCTTTCTAGTTTATGTGGCGGGGAGCAAATAGTCTGTTCTGGGAATCAAGTCCTCCTCATTTCTCAGTTAATTAAGTTACTAAGAGCCACAGACTGGTTTGTTGGGTTTTTTTTGACTGCTGCAGAGTCACTGTTGCAGCCCAACCTGCACATTCAGGATCCCAGTTCTCTTCTAGTCATGGTTTTTGCTCCTGCAGCTCTTGATGTTGTGAAGGGGTGCTTGGAGGAATGGGCTATTAAGAGCATTAGCCATGAAAAAATGCTAAACTGCTCCACAGAGTTAAAAATACATTAATGAAATGGGCATAATGAGTACTGGAAATAGTTTTATACCCCCTTGAGCTAGGAAATATAAATATACATATACTAAACGACAGTTCCCCCCTTGCCCCCCACAGAGTCATATTTTCAACTGGCTAGGTTAATTTGGGAGACAGTATTTCACATGCAAATAAATTGGGATTATGGTTCTGCTTGGGTAAATCACAAACTGTTCAATGCCTC